TGTGAGTCCTGTATGATCTGGAAAATTCTGAAAATTAGTCTCCGTCAGAGCCGTCAGAGCCAAAGACATCCGTGCTGAGATATCGCCGGCCTGAACGGACTCCTAGAGGCCGCACACTCCCCCCCAGCTCCACCTGTGGAGCTTCCGGAACGTTAGGAACACTACCACGAGGTATCAAAACACGCTATGGTATGATTCATCTCATCCACGCTGTTACGCTTTGATTACGAAGGCTAAAACAGGCTTCCCTCCCCAAATACCAAGCCCCTGAAGAGGGTTTGCAGGGTCGAAGGTTTCCGCCCGTGTTCTAAAAAGGTACGCCACTAAAATACCCAGCTTTCACCTAGATTTACTCTGCTAACAATATTTAGCACTTCCTTTCAACAAACACCATGACACGAACATCGTCGAATTAGGCTTAAACGAATCAGTGGTATGAAGCAAGATTGAGGTGAATTCAGCTAGAGTATACTGGCAACACCACAGCATCCATTTTCTAAAGAATAAATGAATCATTGTCTACTCCTCGTACTGTAGGACACGCAAGTGTACTCGTGCTTGATGGCCAGAATATTGGTCAAGGACGTGCGGTGGTTCCGGCGCTGATGCTCGTCGCTGAAATGGGACAAAAGGCATTATTTATTCAAGAGGCCAGAATCGGCCTTGAGAATCATCAAGAAACAATCCTTAGGGTATCGGCAACAATAAGGAGAATTCAGAGTTTTCTTCTCTCTTCACTTTGCCTTCCTCCTCATAGCTCCCGCCAACGGAACCATCAATTTACTTCCCCCAGTCATGCATGCCTTTCACCTACTGCCAGCAACCTACGCACAGGCTCAGCTTTTACTCATTAGTCTACATTATGAAGACCGGTCACCCCGTGTCGCACGAACGCCGTGCTATCGATCGGTCATTGGGAAAATTTGTCTTGGACAATTTGCCAATGGCCGAAAAGATCATAACTCGGACCCCCCCACGGTACCATTTTCGAGAATTAGTTTTTTTTTTACTGTTAAATCATATCTCAATTTAGGGGAAGTACGGGTACCCGTAGTGTGATTTCGAGAATAAACGCTACACTACAGTGAAAATAGAGGTATATAATTTATGCTAGTACACTGAGATGAGAGCACTCCACTGTGTCTTGAACCTTTTGGGGGAATTAGCCGCTAGATATTTCCAGTATAGAAGAGAAACTGCTGCTCCCCCAATAGATAAGTATTACTACCGTTCAGTAAGGAAATAGAACATGGAACGGAGGCCTAGGGCATTCTTTCGGGAATACTAGCGAGAATAGCATGTACATTACTTCCATTCGGCCCGGCAAGGGGGCTGAGGAGACATAGCTTCTGTCGTAGTACGGGAATTTAGTTACGATAATAGGGATGCCAGGAGGGCACCTCCGATTTCCCCATAACAATATTCATGGAGATGGCGAGATTTCGAATTTCCCATCTAGTGCAGTCGTTTTGGATGTTATTATTATTACCAAGCCTAGGTTTGTGTAAATATTCTGCGAGCAAGGTGAATGACGAGCATCATATGCATAAGCCCTGAGTTAGAGCGCCTAGCGTCGTATATACCGCGGCGGCCATCTCTTCAGGCTTGATAATCTACGGCACACCTTTCCACATGGGTCATTACCAACACGGGAAGTCACCCAAAACCACGCTCAAGGTTTCAGAAAACATTGGAGGAAAAAGTCAGCTCGGACTAACCAGCAACTCGGCACGTCCGAGGAAGAGGGCTCACTATACCTGCACAGATTGCAACTGCATGCTAAAGTACAAATTACCAGAATACCGTTATGAAACCCAGTCGTTAGCACTACACTCTACTCTCTAGAACAGTCCGCACAATAGAGTGCACGCCCTCCAAGCCCTACTTATGCCACCCAAATCTACCGGATGTGCACTCGCACAGTACTGAACGGGATGCTATAGAATAGTAACTACGCCTCTCCTACGAGTAACCCCGGTATTGGTACCATTGGCAGTTGGCCCTTATACGGCGGTATCATATAGTATGATAATATTATGGCAGAGTAAAAACTAGTGGTGGAAGGTTTTGGCGCCCCTCCACCTCCCCATTTTGCTCTAAAAGTATTATACTTTAGTCCAGGTTTACCTGCGAATATATTTCATGAAATTAAAATACTACCTAGATCCAAACCCATAACCTCCTTACTATTCTCTCCCCCTTTCTCTATACTGTACACGGGTGTAAGGGTATCTCCAGGGCTGTGACACAAGGCCTCAGCTCTGCCGCCTCCAAGGTAGGATACTTGTTTCAGAAAGTCAATAGGGGTATTCCAACCGTGAGCAACTGTAAACAATAGACCTACAAGAATACATTCTGAACCCATTCGTTAGGGAATCATGAAGCAAAAAGGTATTCATGAGCGAAACCCAGAGGGTGTTAGATACCGGAAGACTACTTGCGATGAGAGAATTCGGATCATTGCACTTCATGATGATGCAGGCTGGGGCTGAACAAAAATTGGCCAGCACCTGCACATAGATCGACAAATCTGCCAAAAGGTAAGTATTAATTCTATTTTAAAGAGTTTGAAGTAGAAAACTAACTAAAATCTAAAGATATACCAAAGAACAAAGGCAAATAGTACCCCATCAAATGCCCTCCGAACTGGCCGCCCCCCAATCTTCAATGATGCAGAGAGACACAGCAGCTAGAAGCTTGGGTTACGTGACGCAAGGACATGCCGTCTCAGCTGGGATAAAGTATGCTTGGAGATGGAATATGCCTGCTGTCCTCAGACAGTAAAAACTGTTATGAAATCACTGGAGTACCACTTATGTGTACCCTGTCATAAATTTGCAATTGGCTCAGCAAATCAACCGATTCGGGTTGCTTGGTATTGTGATTATCTTGGCTGGGGGTATGAGGATTGGCTTTGTATGCTGTGGACGGATGAGTCCACATTCTCTACAGCATGGTTTGGAAATTGACCTTGGGTAACATGAAAGACTTCAGAGGAATATTATACAGATTGCATGGATAAAACCTTTGAGTCTGATCAGGAACCCTGAATGATATGGGGTAGTTTCTATGGCACTCATAGGTCACAGCTAGTCTTTATTCTCCCCAAAGCCAAGGTTGACTCTGCCCTATATGTTTCTACTATCATGTATTCTTACCTTGTGCCATTCTGGCATCAGTGCTGTGAAACTTATTGGTGGATGGCAGTGGTGGAGGATGGGACATCTGGGCACAAAGGATATTCTAGACAATACAGAAACCTCAATGGGATGGAATGTATCCAATGGCCTGCCCAATCGCCGGATTTAAATCCAATCGAAAACCTTTGGTTAGATATGGAGAACAAGCTCAGTGAAACATGGGGAAGGATTAGGGATATGGCAAGCTTGGAGGTTGTCTTGAATACTATTTGGCAAGCAATTCCAAATGAAAGGCTAGAGAGCCTTATTCGAAGCATGCCTGGACGGCTTCAAGCTGTGATTGATACTGACAGAGGGGCGACAAGGTATTGATTTTTGTATATAGTTTGTAAAAAAGATTATAAACACAATATCATGAGATATCACTCTCATACTTCTACTTTAGTCGAAGAAAAATTACCTAGACTACGGAAGTGTGTCTGGCTTTTTGCCAACACCAAAGCCTACTTACTATATATCACTTGAACTTCCTAATCTGGCTTCGTCTCCACATAATATACACATCTCTATTCGGAAGTGCCCCCGATCTTTTGCTACCCCCTTGTACTATCAGCTACTCAAAACAGCCTTTCCTCCAACTTTGACTACTAACTTGAATATAGGCTTGCGACCTCTTCTGACAAAGCTCCAACTAGCAAGTTAATATCATGATTTGAAATATCTATATTGTAAACAAATAACAATATTGTCCTTCTCATTATTGTTGCTATACTGTTTACTAGTTAGTACTTTTCCGTATTTCGTACAATTCAAATATGTCATCCTATATGAAAAACTATCCTATCATAGTAATCTAGAATATGAACATTTTGGCGCGAAACGTGGAATCAATAACTAATTCCATCTTGTCTGCCCATGTGAGTCTACTCTCTGCATCATCACCTCTCACTCACTCCTGCCATTGCTCTCATTTAGCCATGCGACGGAGATAACTTAGCATGCTCTTCAGAAATTACAGGCTTCCAGAGCTAACAAGGCACAGTAGTTAATGCCCACTCACGGACCTGATTGGACCCCACAGTGCGGGTAAAGACTCGAGGCACCCGCACCGTGCGTTGGTGCGCGCAGAATTACCTGTGACGGTTCTAAATGCACTCAAGTGGGGTACGGCTGACACCGTTGAGCCGACCTGTCCACAAACCACCCTAGGAGCATAATACAAGTATGATACGATGTCGACAACAAGTACCGTACTGCACTAGGTCGCATGGCATCTGTATCCTGCATCACACTCGAGTGCTAGTAACGTCGGTGCTTTTTCACTATGGACTGCTACCGGTATTGTATACCACCAAAATTTGCTCCTACTGCCTGGGTCTTGGTAGTATGCAACAGCAGTCCTGTTTTTGTTTTTTTTTGAATGGCGGTTTGAGCTGGGCGGATTGATGGATGACCCGCGTGGGCATGATATTATTGGTGTATGGTGCACTAAGATGGTTTCCCACTGCTGGTGTGGCTTACGTCCTGGTAGTCCTTACTTAGCCTTTATCCGATGATTGTCTTGTCGTGTTGGGAGGAATCGGGGGAGTACTCTTGCAGTACTCGAGTAGAGTTGCATTCAGGGGGACAAACACACAGGTAACCCACTCGAGGGAAGAGTATGATATCGCACTCAAATACAGTATAGCACAGTGCTCGACGTCATGTTATTACTTCTTCGTATAAACTTACACCATTACCCAGTAAGTAAACAAACCAGAATCCCAAACCAGCTTAATTCACTCGTACAATGCGCAAGCAGAACGGGGGCAAGACAAGTTTTAGGTCATACAGGACTGCAAAAATCACCTTTTTCTTTTTCTATTTCATGTATCGTAGCTCACAGAAGGGCGTTGCGCGGCGGGGAGGGGGGAAGGGAGCATAGCTGGGTGGAGAAAAGGGAGGGTGAAGGCGCCATGCGGACCACTCATGCCATACGGAAATGAAAAGAAAGAAGAAACAACAGCCCCAGCTCAACTTCCCCATCCCACCCTAAATCTCCGCGCCCCGAGTCACCCCCATGGTAAAGGAAGAGAGAGCGAAGAGATTAAGAAAAGAAAAGAAGAGAAGCAAACGCCGGAAGGGAAGAAGAAAAACCGAAACACACGCTCCCTCCTCCCCTCTGTCTGGATATTTCAGAACAGTTTTTTTTCCGGCTCGACCGTCTCGTCATGAAGGGAAAGGAAAAAAGAAATTGTATTTTGGTTGGCCGATGGTTGCTTTCGTTATTTCTAAACAGCATCGATATCGATATCGCCTGCCTCGACGTCGAACTCGAAGTTGCACTCGTCGGCTCCTTCGTGGCCTGTTTGATATATCAATACCGATATTGCATTTAGGAGTGAGGCGACGGCAGTGAGGAGTAATAGATAACTGACCATAAGTATCTGTCTCGTTGATCTTCGCGTTCTCTGGGAGCTCGCCATAGGCTTTGAGAGAGCGGGCTTCATCGGCGGTGTACTTGAGAATGACGTCGCCCTTCTCATCCTGGTAGTCACGGAGGGAGAGAAGGATGATGTCTCCTTGGTTAATCCAGACCTTTGTTTATCACATTAGCCATGGCCTGAGGTGCATGATACGAAGAGATGGGGTGAAAGGGGGCAAATGTATACATACCTTTTTGCGCATTTTTCCGCGAATGTGGGCTAAACGCTTCTCGCCATCAAAGCACAAGGCCTCTAAACGACCGTTACCCAACATCTTGACGACCTGTGCGTATTCTATGAGATATCAGTTTGAGCTCTGATTATTATTGTTCTTTTTCCCCATGACAACGGAGTGTCAACACTTGACCTGGAGGCGATGGAAGCATACCTTGACCATCTTCTTTAAAGGTCAGCTCGCGCTTTTCGTTGTCATTTTCATTCTTTCCTCTACGCCTGTTCTTTCCTCCCTGTTCGCCACGGTGCAGTTAGCCACCCGTTAAGTAAGGTACATTATTTGCTGAACTTTATCTGGCTGAACGGTGGCGCCAGCAACGGGAGAAGGGAAGAATAAACATACCTTTCCTTTATTCTTAGGCATATTGGCGCTTTAGTCGAGAGTCACTTGCCGTGTGGTAAGTCGGAGCGTGCGAGGCGTGTGGCACTTAACGTGGAAATAGGAAGAAACCTGTGTGTGTAGGAAGAGGTTTTTAGAGGACTTGCGCTAAAGGGGGAGGGACGAAGGAGAGGTTGAGCTGGTCCAGCTGACAGCGCAAGAATTTTAAGGCCGGGTAATTTGCTTGCCTTTCCCCACTCCTAGACTGGCGGTTACCCGGCGTAGAAACTCACCCCGCAATTGTTTATTGACAGGTGCCCCTCATCCAGCCAAGTCAGTTGTTATAAAACAACAAAAAAAAACAACCCAAGAGGTCGCTGCATCCAAGTGCCGAGTTCTCAATAGTTTTTTACGCGAACCATGGCCACAGAACTGGCAACTCGAGTCTTACACTCCCTTAACGATGCATCAGAATTGCCTCTTGCCTCCAGCGAAGCCTTTCCAGATGTCGAGCCTACCGTGCTGAAGGGGGCCCTAGACTCACTGCGGAGCAGGGAGATGCTCGTCTATGAGACAATTGACCGCGAAGAACCAGTCTTGACGGAGGAGGCGGAGGGAATCATAAGAGAGGGAAGTCATGAGGCGAAAGTCTATGAAGCGGTTTGCGCTGCTATGGACGGTATCAAAATCAGTGAACTACCCGTAGGAGGCCCTTTTTCCAGTTCGACATTTACCTCAGCTTCTAACTAGGGCAGGGAATCGTTGGTGCGGCTTCTGCGAAGGTTGGTCAGGGGAAGGCATTCAAGGAGGGATGGATCAAGAAGGACGGTGATAAGTTGCTTAAAAAGGTATGCACTACCTTCAAAGAGTTAATAGTGTTGTTTCTAATATCTGAGGCAATGGCTGATGTGGTATGCTTAGGCAGCTTCAATTAATGACACTACTCGCGACCAATTGCAATTAATCAAGGCCAGACAAGACGCACCCGAGCCAGCACTTCTGGCAGAGCTGAGAAAAAGGAAGCTTATTGCTATGCAGAAGCGTATTAGCTTCAAGATAAATAAAGGACCTAAGTTTGCTCTGGAGGTTGTGAAGGAAGAGACAGATTTGACAGCGGAAATGATTGCTAGGTATGTTTTTCTTGCTACTCTCGCCAACCCGAGTTATGCTTAAATCGCTTATTCGAAGTCTCTTAGTGGCTCTTGGAAAGATAAAAGCTTCAAACCTTATAACTTCGCTGCCCTAGGCGCAAATACTCCTAGTGGAGCTTTACATCCATGTTGGTCCTTCCTACTTATATTACCTCCCTATCCAACAGCTATTGATTACATCCATACTTACGCTCCGGCTATGCAGTGAACAAGGTTCGCAGCGAGTTCCGAAATATCTTCTTTGAGATGGGTTTCACAGAGATGCCAACCAATCGGTAAGACTTCAAGGACCAATAACTTCCCAAAGCAAACTGACAAACCCTATCAGTTTTGTCGAGACCGGCTTCTGGAATTTTGATACCCTCTTTGTACCCCAACAGCATCCAGCCCGCGATCTGCAAGATACCTTCTACATTTCAGATCCTGCTGTGGCCGATAAACCCAGAGATGATGAAACAGGGGAATTTCTTGCCGAATACTGGGAGAATGTACGAGAAGTCCATCAAGACGGCAAATTTGGTTCCCTCGGATATCGCTACCCATGGAAAGAGGAAGAGTCTCTTCGTTTAGTTCTCCGTACCCATACCACTGCAATCTCGGCAAACATTCTCCACAAGCTCGCAAAAAACCCACGACCTGCAAGATATTTCTCTATTGATCGTGTCTTCAGAAACGAGACTGTTGACGCAACTCATCTTGCAGAATTCCATCAGGTTGAAGGTGTAATTGCGGACTACAACCTTACGCTTGGAGACCTCATTGGCTTTATGCAAGAGTTCTTCCAGAAGATGGGTGTACATCAGCTGCGTTTCAAGCCGGCATACAACCCTTATACCGAACCGTCAATGGAAATCTTCGGTTATCATGAAGGCCTTGGAAAATGGGTTGAGATTGGCAATTCTGGTATGTTCCGACCGGAAATGTTAGAATCTATGGGGTTGCCGAAAGATATGCGAGCCCATGGATGGGGATTGAGCTTAGAACGCCCTACGATGATCAGATATAAGGTCAATAATATCAGAGAGTTAGTAGGACATAAGGTTGACCTAAATTTTGTGGAGAGCAATGCGGCAGTTAGGCTAGATAGAGATTAGGTCGAAGCTTTATAAAGTAGACGAGGGGATACTAAAATAAAGCGACTTTTTTATTGTTTCTTCTGTGTATTGTCCTTTTTCCTAAGAGATGGTCAATTCGGATCGCTCTGCGAGAATTGTCCACGTTCCTGAAACTCTGTAGACATATCACCGTAAAGGTCAACCTGGATGCCTTTGTTATCACTCGATTTACCACCAAGAGCCCAAGATCTTGGCAAACAGAGCCTCAGAAACCAAATAGGAAAAAAAAAAAGGTTTGTGCGCAAAATTTCTGAAATTTAAAATCAACCCCTCCATGGCCAATCCAGGTGAAGAGCCCGCAACAACCACAAGAAGTGACAATCCTGAATCTAATTTGTAAATAAGAAGGATGACCCACGTCTCTCTCCACCGCTGTCGCTTCGTCGACTTCCCACCCTCGCAGATAACAGCTCTAGCCTTCTCGCACCCATCAACACCTGCATCACCATATCCCCCGCCCAAGAACCTGCGATTAGCGATTGGCCGCGCGAATGGATCTATCGAGATCTGGAACCCCCTCTCAGGCGCTTGGGTCTACGAGAGCATTCTCGCGGGCGGAAAGGGCCGCTCGATAGAGGGTCTCACATGGGTTCAGGACCACGATCCCCACGGAAGAGGTCTCCTCCGCCTCTTCAGCGTCGGGTACTCCTCCGTCATCACGGAATGGGACCTAACCACCGGCCGCCCGCGCACGCACACGGACTGTAACGGCAGCGTGATCTGGAGTATCGCCGTCCAACCGCGGCTTCATTCCTCCGAAAAGGTTAACCAGGATGACCAGGAGGCCTGCGCGCAGAAGATTGCCGTAGGCATGCAGGATGGGACGCTGACGATTCTCTCGACCGCGGGTGGGAAAGGTGCGTTGAGTTATGTCAAGACATTGCAGAGGGCCGGAACAAGTAAATCCAGGGTCTTGTCTATGGTCTGGCAGAACAAACACACCGTGGTCGCTGGGATGGCGGACTCGACAATTAGGGTGTGGGATATCCGCACCGGCCGGGTGGTTTCGAGGTTATCGCTCAATAAGGACCGTGGGAGGGACGTACTAGTTTGGGCTGTTCGAGCACTGCCAAACGGGAATCTGGTGTCCGCCGACTCACGCGGGGAGGTGTGCTTTTGGGACAGGGATAAATATGCGCTCACGCAGAGAATTAAAGGACATGATGGGGATTGTCTGGCGTTAGAGGTTGGTGGGATCAATGGGGATACCGTTATCTCTGGAGGTGTGGATATGAAGACTATTCTTTACAAGCATATTGGTGAAGGGAGGAAGTGGGGTCAAGTCACGCTACAGCGATTTCACAAACACGATGTGAGAGCTATGGCGGCTTATGAATGTGGAAAGTTCAGCGTTATTGCATCAGGAGGTGATATTTTGTTCATCCTAGATTTAACGGAGCCTTTTCTGATGCAGATCTAGGTGTTGACATGACCCCAATAATTATACCCCTCCGACAATTCTTAGATGAAGCTCAACTTGAGATTCCCGCGGTCCCGCAATCACCAATTGTCACTTCAGTGCCAGAATCAAGACTGATAATGAGCTGGTGGGAGCAAGAAGTCAAGATCTGGCGAATTCAAGAACTAGGTTATGACGAAAACAAGGGAGACGAACTATACCTATTCCCCGGCGAAGAGGAGGGGCGAGGTAGAAAGCTCTTGAGCAGGATTGTCTTGGCTGTAAAGTCATCCCGAGTCACTTTCTATCCAATCCGCAGCTAATAAGTCGTACAGAACGACGAGTACATTACCTCTGCATCAATCTCGTCGCCAATTCCTCAGAACGGCGGACATGTTCTTGCGGTATCGACAATTGCCGAAGTCAAGCTTTTCCTTTTGACACCTTCTAGACCTTCCTCTGGCTCTACATTCCTAAGGGTTAGCAAAATAACCATTCCAGACCCACTACGCCTCGAAGCCCCAGAGGGTGAAAACCACTCCGACGACGGGATGGAAGAAGATATTGACCTCGCCAATGAAGGGGCAAGGTCCGTCAGGATATCTCCAGACAGACAATGGCTCTCTGTGGTCACCCCCGACTCTCGAGTTCTCATTGTCAAACTTGCGGTTGACCCACCAGTAGGCCCCAAGTCTAAAGCCGCAGTCAGATTTGGGTCCTCAGTCTTCGAACTACCCAGACAAGACCGTCCCGAGATAGCTCCTCGAGCCCCGCCCCCGCCAGCCACTGACACCCCTAGCAAACGCCAACTAAAGCGTCTAGCCCCCCGCATTGACGAAGGCGACTTAGAAACCTACCCAAGGACCATAAACCACCACCTCTTCTCCTCCACCAGTGACCTCCTCGCTGTTTCAGACCTGAGTGGTTACCTAGACACCTATACTCTAGCCAACTTCACCTGGAACCTCAACCCTAAAAACCCCCTCTTACCCCGTCTCAACTCCCCCCTGAGCATCCTAGCCTTCCGCCCCTCCTCCACAACCAGCCCCGAAGATCGCCTGCTCCTAATAACCTCCAAAGACAACCACATCTTAGAACTCCACCTAACGACGGGTGCGCTATCTGACTGGTCCCGCCGCAATCCACCGACCCATCTGCCAATAGACTTCCGCACGCTAAAGTCGCATGCAACGGGCACGTTTTTCGAAACCAGTCAATGGGAGGCGAAACAGCGACTGTGGATCTGGTCCGCGAACTGGCTCTGGATGTTCGACCTCCTAAAGGACCTACCGGAAGTCAAACCCCGTCCCGAAGCTGCGAGAGGAAAGTTAGGTTCAGGAGCGGGGCATAAACGCGTGATGACGGGCGGTCTTGTGCCTTCCGGACCAATTCTTAATCCCCCCCTCTCTGGTCCTGTTAAAACTGGCGCTAGCGGAGCGGTGACGGACTCAGAATGGGAAGGCGAAGGCTACGACGACGAAGATGGCGGAGGAGCTAGCAGAGCCATTGTCCCCACGGGCACGCAGAAGAAGCGAAACAAAGGTGGTGCCAAGGGTGCGTTCTGGAGCTCAAATAGGTACAAGAACATGCTTGGCTTCTTGCCTGTCGGCTGCCGAGAGGAGATTCTCATCAAGGGCGAAGGCTGGAGGAATGGTCAGGTGCTCGAGGCTATGGAAATGGTGGTTGTCGAGAGGCCTATGTGGGACGTTAAGATGCCGCCTAGGTTCTGCAAGGACGCTGGGGGTCCGGCGAGAGGGGGGGCGATGTGATTGCGTTACTGTCATGATATATTGTATGGTATGCGTGGCAGGGAGGATGGGGTTATCTAAAAAAAGTTTGGTTTTGCTTAAAATCTTGGATGTATATTTGCCTGCAGTGCACTTCTCTATCTGAAAAATAATGCCTGCCACGCAAGCTCTAAAGCTCTAGTGCAAGACGTTAATGTGTGTTTCAGTGACTTGGTCAATTTCGTGTGTAGAGGCCATGGCTATGAGAACAACAGAGGAAAAGCGGTCGTGTTGTTACACTGAGATAACTTATAGTATCATGATAGGCATCAACACATGGGTATGAAGAGCTAACTGAATCCATTGTAAACCCCGATTATTTATGCGCAAAGCAACAACAAACCAACTACAAATACAATCCCTCAGGCTCACCCTCACTCTTCGTTTTCAGGACCCTCTCTCGAGCCGTCCTGAAATCCGCCATTTGCACCCTCATCCTCCGCTCTCTCAAAGCGAGCAATCCAGCCTCAGTGCAGATAGCCTTGATATCAGCACCAGAAAGGTCATCCTTCTGGTTGATAAACTCTTCAAGTTCTACATCAGAGCTTAACGACATCTTCGAGGTGTGGAGGGTAAAAATCTTGCGTTTTGTGTTTTCTAGAAAGTATTAACCTCATATCACTCGTATTGGGGAAAGTGGAAGAAACATACGATCAGGATTCTCAAACAAAATCTTACGATCAATTCTACCTGGTCGAATCAAGGCAGGATCCAGAGTCTCAATCTTGTTGGTGGCCATAATGACTTTGACGTCACCCCTATCATCAAAACCATCCAGCTGGTTCAACAATTCCAACATAGTCCTCTGGACTTCCCTCTCGCCACCACTTGTCGATTCATAACGCTTGGTGCCAATAGCATCAATCTCGTCAATGAAGACAATACTAGGCGCGTGTTCGGCAGCAACCTGGAATATTTGACGACAAAGACGAGGGCCATCACCAAGGTATTTCTGAATGAGCTCGGAGCCAACGATGCGGAGGAAGGTAGCAGATGTTTGATTGGCAACCGCTTTCGCAAGCAAGGTTTTACCGGTACCGGGAGAGCCATAAAGAATGACACCCTTCGGAGGTTTGATACCCATCTCTTCGTAAAGCTCAGGATGAAGTAAGGGCAACTCAACCGCCTCACGAACTTCCTGAATCTGTTGTTCCAAACCACCAATATCCGCATAAGACTCTGTGGGAGCTTTATCAAGTTTCATAACCGAGATCAAAGGATCTGAATCTTCTGTGAGAACGCCAACAATCGAGACCGATTTGTGATGCAGCAGTACCGAGCACCCAGGCTCCAGGAGATCCTTATCGACAAATGACATGATGGAAACGTAGTACCTACGGACGGCCCAATAATTAGTTTTCATCCTAGCACAACCTGCTCATGATGTGGAGCATACTCAGGGCCTGTAGCACTAGAGACAATCGCATGATCATCATCAATCATCTCCTCCAGATTCCCTACTCCCATTGGGCTTCCACGCATATCGTCAACACGACTCCGCTCCTCCTCTTGCCTCTGCTCCAAACCTCCCTTCTCGCCCTTGCTCCCGCGTAGACGTTCCTGATTCTGAACAAATTCCTCCTCAAGAAGCAGGTGATCCTTGATACGCTCCATCCGGAGAAGTTTAAGTTTACAGCGGGCATTGGGGTAAACTGTTGGAAGTTTGCTGGCGGCATCTGGTCCGGCAGCAGTACGGCGCTTGCGCCGGCCGACACGAGTAGTCGGTGGGGGAGGTTCATACTTTGGCTTTTCCTTCTGTACACGAAATCAGCCTAGTGATACTTTTCACGACAATTTATGATGAAACTGGAGGTGATGGGATGGATAAAATATGATTGGGAGGCTTAGCAATTATTAAAGGTAGAGCCAATCTTACCTTTTGATCTTTGCCCTTCTCACCATCTCCCGGTGGGGGCCCACCTATCCCAGACTGAGCATTACCCTATATTTGCTCCTATTAGCACCGAATATCAAACTCATCTGAATATGGGTCAAAGATTATCCATCTAAGATAGATACCCTAATGTCTTCAGAAAACAGCTCTCGGATGATATCCTACCATATCAGACCTTTATGGTGGCCGCTCAGTTTATGGTGCAAGGGTTGATGATATAGAATATGGTTGAATGATAGATGAGTGTTATGAATAGAGAAGGGTGAAGGCGACTTGGGTGACGATGGTGGGTGGATGATGGAAGGGGCTCAGCATGGTGTTTGAGGCAGGCCGGCGTATTCTAGGAGCTTAGGCGTTTGTCACCCTACCGCTGCCCACCAAACCCTAAACCCTCGAGCCCCATTAAATGCCAAAGCTCTACTGCAAGGTACCAAAAACCCAGTGGTAAAAGCCTGTAGTATCATAAACTTTGAGAAGGCCCACAAAAATTACTTGTCACTATTGCACCATGTCATAAGAATTGCCTTACTAAGTAGCCCCCAAAGCCTTTTACAATTGCTTCCTAATTCTCTACTTCTCTTCTATCCTCTGGACCTGTATCGCTCTACGAACCCGTTACGGTGAAAAAAATGTGTATATGTAAAACTCCCCACTACTCGAAAGCCAATAAAAAAAAAAAAAAAAAGAAGGGGGGTTACATAGTCTATGAGCTACAAGAAGCGAAAACCCCCTTTTATCTACAAAAGTCGACCCCTTCCCCTCATCAACAAACCTTCGTGATCCCAAAGTCTCCCTATTATCATAATGGATTCCCTTCTGACTGGGTTTCCGACCAGTACTCTAGCTGCTTCAGGAGGTATTGGTATAGAACCAACATCGTCCCAGATTGCACACTAGTCCACACGGCCCTAGGGCCTACGCCACGGAACCAGCCCTGGATGCCTTCAGTTCGGTAGAGGAGTTTGAGACCTTCAAAAACTGAGGATGTATTGAACTTTAGTGGACCAGTTTTTGGAGGTGAGGTTGTGGACGGGGATGATGTTGATATTGACCTATGCTGTGGCGGGGGAGCCGGGGGAGGCGGCGAAGCTTGTAGTGCAGTGAACGGCCTAGAACCCTCTCGCACACTGGACGTTGGTGTAGTGGCTGCTTTGGGCGCGGGCGAGGGCGGCGTTCGGACCTGTGTCTGTATCCTTGTCTTTACAACATCTATGCTGGGTCAGTATTCCGCTGAAATCTATACAAGGTGAAAGTGCGACACACCAAGAGGGCAGGTGATAACACCAGCTAAACCACCTGCAAACCCAGCTGTAGCAAGCTCCAACGGCAACCCTATATCTCTGGATCCACGGTACGATTTTGCGGCTTTCTGGAACTGCTCGTAAAACGCGAACTGAAGGGCCGAAAATGGCAAATCTCTCATAATTGTAGCTTTATACCCATAAAACAAGGCTGCAGGTCCCTCTCTTCTAATGATTGTTCTAGTTGCGTCTATCGTGCCACGGTAATTATATCCGGACTTAAAATAAGGATTATTGTATCTCCCTTGTAATTGTAGCCTTGTCTTCAGAACTTCAGACGGGACATACACCACGCTCGCAAAGAGATCCGCCAAAAACCCACCAGAAAGGTATGCCAAATTCTCCGGACATCCCGCATCGATCAAATTCCGTTTTGAAAACTCGTAGACCCCAAAGAAAATGACTGTGCCTGGAAGACTCCCCATAAAAGCGGGAGTGACACCACTGTAGAGCCCTCTTCGAAATCCCTCCTCACGAAAAATAGTCGCGTATGCGTCAGACGTAGTCGAATACTTGATGGCTGTAGGGGCACCCTGCTGACGAGTCTTGACAGTGTCAAGCGAATGCATCAAGATATCGCCCGTACTCCCTCCTATACCGCCGGCTACCATACACTTTGTATTAGAAAAGGGTCAGTGCTGCCTCCGTCCATCATCAAGTTTTGCCGTGGTTCTTTCTCTTCTTTTTTTTCCTTCTGGAGGAGAAACTCACATGCAGGTATGGCGGTCTTCGAGCCTCAAACGTCTCATGATCCTCAAACATTGGTCCACGCGCTCTCGGAGGGTTTATAACCGCGGGATCATCATGGGCAATTGCTATAGGTGAAGGTTGACGCGGACGGTCTTGTTCGGCAGATGGACTCGTGAAGAAACTTGATATCCGGGATCCAAGTGACATGGCAACCCCGCCACTGCGGGCGTAGATGGGAGGTTAGATGGGTGTGGTTTTGTGATAAGAACAGTGCAAAGTATTAGGAATAAAAGGTAAGCGCGGGGTGGAGGGGCAATTGGGGTTTGCAAGGGCTGGGTATGAGGTTACTGTGTTTTTTTGGATGAAATGCGGACTTCGGTGCAATTTTCCAAAAAGGGCCCGCAACCAGGAAAAATTGAAGCCCGGGTCCTCATCGGCCGTTGAAAACACAGATTAGGCTTGGTATGATACTCCGATAACACCGCCGCAGGGGTCGGAGGGTTTTATAGCCCTTTCCGGGGTTGGGCCAAGGCTCCGTGCCAATAAAGTGTCTACTCAGCCATAGACTGCCGGGCACTTGTGAATATCAACGTTTTTACACCCATCGAATTCGGCCAACTTCAAGATCACGTGACTCCACCTTATGCCCTTCACAACGAATCACTCACAGCTACTGTGAATCGATATGACTGCTCACGAGAAAGAAGCTTGATTTTCTTACCATCTGTGCAGCTGTGGGTTTTTATGCTAACTGAACTATCAAGTGAAAGAAAAGAAATACCAAAAACCCGAGGTTGGTAATATGAGGACCTCGGAGGAAAGAATCTGACAAAACCTCAGAATACCACAGTTGAACATAGCATGGTTGTGCGGTTGTGAAACAAATGGGGAAGAGATGAAGAAAAACTCCAACAGTAACTAACGTTGAAGAGAGTGGTGAGAAAAGTACTAGGAAAAACTAACTAAAAGAAACTAGTTTGTTTGACGGATAAGCACTAAACTCAACAGCTACACCCGAACGAGGCATCGCGCTCAACATATTAGGCAGTTAATGGATACTGATCTTATGAGGAAGCCATTTAATCATCCCTCGGTAATTTTAGCCACAATCTCCCTCGCAAATGTAGCAAAATCTCTATCTTTATCGATTTTCTCCCAGAGATTTGGCTCTATGATAACCCGAAATTATTAGCAGCCCTCCCCCCAAAACATAGTTGGAGTACGTACGCGTAAAAACCGCGATAGTGTTCCTGCTGACACCTGCTGCCTTACTGGCCCTGCAACCTCTCACAAAATGTGGAACAGCCTTCAACTTGCCCTCAGTGATAGCCTCCAGCGCCGCCCCAGTTTGAAAGGCAAGACAATCCCTTGGAATACCAACTTTAACTACACCGCCTTTACGATCTTTGACGTAAAGACCAGAATCTGGATCGGGTACTGATTCGAGCTCTGGGAGATCCACGCCTTGGGAGATGTCAAGAGTTAGGGAGCCTTCGTCCACGTACATTGCCGAAGTTAGGCCTATGACAACATTAGCCTGAGGAATAGACGGCAGCGGTGCGCGCAGAACCTGTCAGGCAGCTAAAATCAATATGTGCCCCACACCAGTTGTCGAGGTCTTCCTCAGCTTCGACAGAGCCAGCCTCGAGGGATGGAGGTGGGAAGTAATGAAGAAGACGGGCTTTGGTAGTAGTAGAAGTCTTGACTACATGCTCAAGATACCCTTCCTGGTAACCTGGGATGTGCTCCAATGCTATGCTAATTCTTAGTAACTGTTCCGGGCGCAGTCAAGCACGAGCAGAGGAAGTTGCCATATTTGTCACAAGCCTATGCTCATCTCATCAGCTCTATTACGGCACAACTAGACTTTCCAGAAACTCACTCTAGCAACTAGGCTAGCGATATCAATAACCATTGCACACTATCGCAGTTAGCTAAGTTGTAGAAAAGATTTACTGCTCTACTTACGAATTCTTTGAAGGTTTCCTTGAATCCCACCAGCAATCCCTCCCTTGGCCAAATATTACTCTTAGTATACTCGGGCAAATCCGGATAATTGCCAGTTGCGTTGGCCAACTCTGGGTCTTTGTGAAATGCGCAGTTGGCATAATAGGATCCCTTCAATGTATCCACTTTATCACTTGATAGCTTCTCTTTTGCGCATGACCTTTCCCCGCTTCTATCAGTATCAAAGTTCCTGGAGAGGAAAGTGGCGATCGGATACTACCATCCAACCAGATACTTTGCCTCAGGGCACTCCAAAGCTTCAAGCTCTGCCCGCGAAAGATTTCCCAAGTGAGAGGCAAATGAGAGAAGTCTTCGGCGCAACCCCACAAACTTCTCTGGGAGGCCGCCGACAAAGATTATTCCTAAGGATTCAGGACCAAATGCTTCCTCTAAGCTTTTAAGATCGACATTTCCTGATACAACGTTAGGAGCCGAGCATGGAGACGTATTGTATTATACTGCGCATACCCGATTCCAAATCATCCAACCGAACAAGAACCGGATTTGCCTTTTGGTAGATCATGATACAGTAGGAAGTTTGTCTCTCTTGAAACCTTGGGGAAAGTTTATGGGAGTGTCAAAGTTTAAGCAAAACCAGGTAACAGCCGAGAGTCACCGGTATCCTAGGCTGCGGAAGCCGGTGTTGGTAGTGGCGGGGTGTTTAGCCCTGCTAATATTATATCATAGCTGACTTGATCGGTCACCGCGCCGAGTATGACGGAATTCATGGCTGGTCATGAGGACAGAAGGGTTAGGGTTACTAGAAGGGTTAGGGTTAATCTGTTTGGCTGGGAACAATCACTCGCACGATACACTGGCAGCATTTGGGTGTGGGCCGTGTGGCATTAAAATCAGAAACTAGGGGTGGCAAAACAGGAATCAAATGGATCGGGAGATAGTCTAACACTGTTTGGAAAGGTAGTCGTGTTACTAGATGTCTTAAAAAAGTATGCTGCACCGAATGACATGTATTATAATTATGCCAAGTACGAGACAAATTTTCACTAAACTTAAGGAGCGAAAATCAACTACTGGTAAGAGAACGAGGGGTGTGGTTTTTTCCTGTAGTATTACATGATCCCGACACTTGTTTTACTAGATTCTAAACACCTCTACTTCTCTTTTTCTCCATACTATCAGCTACAGGTTCTTAAACTACCAATCTCATTCATGTTTTCCATACTAGTATTTTGTTGCTACCTGTTTTCTTAACCTTGGATCATAGTGGTATCAATATTTTTGATTCTTATAGTCATACACGAGTACAGTACAGGTATAGGTTCAGTCTGCTGCAGTATATATGTGCTAGGTTATTATAATAAGTCTACCTGTGACTACCAGAAAACTCCTCAATTCCTGTCTCAGGACTGGTTCACTCTTAGTATTCTTGTTGTTCAGGACTCGAAACAATTGAATAGTCCTTAAAATACACTGGTAGGTGCCAATAGTATAAGTGCAGTTTGATGAAAATAAAATTAAGCTAGCTAGTAAACACCTATTCTGAGGTTGTTCCGAGTCCTTAGACCTTAATCATATTAGGCATGTCTGAGTTAAACCAGAGAGAACCCTTCAGGATTTGTGTTCTAATATTGCTTCAACACTTGGGTATTCTCAAAGGGTCCAGGAAAAGCTTTGAAGTATTACTTCTTGTTCAAGTTTGGAATACAATTTAAGTTCATGGAGGAATTTTTACATAGTTGCAAAAGCAAATACCAGGCCAAATCCATATGGTTATTAAGGACAAAAGATAGTGTACTGGATATTAGTAGCTCTTTCTTGCTCTCCTTTTTTCTCTCTTTTTGTGCCTTTATACGAAGGCCTGTTCCAGGATTTATTTTCTCCTCACCGCTCACCAACCAGAGCCCCACTCGCCAAGTCCCTTCCAACCTTACATCTGCTATTTACTACCGCTATTGCAGTGAAATTTTTCCCGATCACTAAGACCTTTGGGCCGGGACTTTGAGGGGGATCGCTAGCTTGTACCGGTTTGGTGATAGCTAGGATGGATATGATACCGTATTGAACTGACCACCCGTCGGTGATCAAGTTCATGGACTAGGCACTCGGCACTGCCAACACTGCCAGAAACAGCACGGCCTAGAAAACCTATGATAATATCGTGCCAACACTGGAACTATTCCTCCCGCCTTTCTGGTTACCATATTTCGCGGTTATATGAGTCATCGCGCCCCTTCCTAAATCTGGCCTTGTCCTTATCGCTATCATCCTCCGTCGTTACCCGGCCAGCAGCATAACTGAAACCGCCCGAGTCCAAAAATCCTAAACCAGTACAACACGATGGTAAAAGCACTCCGGTTCAAAGGCGACAAGAGAGTCAAGAAGAGGAAGAGGGCGGAAACTAGGGGTGATAATGCCGAAGAAGGTTCTTCGTCAAAAGTTGTGGGGCAGCAGGAGGGGGAGGATGCAGAAGGATGGGTCGATTCCGAGAGTTTAGGTTTGTTTTGAGAGCTTGCGGAAGAAAGAAGCGCTAACAGAAGGAGATAGAGGATATTAACGGACCCATAATTTTCACCTTTTCCGCTGCGAGGCCTATATGCATCGCTTGCGATGCCGCCGGGAAAGTCTTCGCGTCTCCGATCGATGCGATCGAAGACGAAGATCTATCTACGGCGGAGCCTACGGACGTCAAGCAGGTATGGGTTGCAACCAAGATACACGGTACCGAGAAATACTCTTTCAAATCTCACCACGGAAGATATCTTTCCTGCGACAAGTTCGGGGGCCTTAGCGCGACACGAGAAGCCATCTCGCCGGAAGAAGAGTTCTTGCCCGTTCCAAATGAATTAGGAGGTGGAAGGTGGGCGTTGCAGACTGTCAGGGACAAATTTCTTAGTGTTGATGAGGTGGGCGCTGGTGGGACTACGGAAATTCGTGGGGATGCAGAAGCCGTGGGCTTTAAGGAGACGTTTGTTGCCCGGCTGCAGGCGAGAAATAGGAAGAGGAAGAAGTCGGGAGCGGAAGGGAAGGCCAAGGATAAGATTACACGAAAGGAGCTGGAAGAACAGTGCGATCTCTCTTTGCAATATGCGGTTGGTGATTGAGCTAACCTCTGAGACCTCTCAGGGCCGGTGTGAAGCTTGACGATGAGCAAGTAAAGGCGCTGAAACGCGCTAGACGAGGTAAGCACTTGAACCACCTATCAAACCCCAAAGGAAAATAGAAGCTGACTCGTGAATAGAGGGACGATTTCACGAGGCATTGCTCGATATCAGAGTCAAATTTGGGAAGCACGACAAGTTTGCGTACTAAGAGTTTGTTGTGGCTACCAAGTCCCCAGTTGGAATCCTGTATTATACTGTAGTTCCTTTTCGGTTTTATCGGTTTTCGCACTTTATACTGCCGCATTCGACAATACTATGATGATGATTGAGATAGACATTACTTTTAAAGCGATCTGAATTTGGTGCGATGATTGAAATAGTCCCTTAAATTATTGTGTGTGGTGTCACTACTGAGATTTGTACCAGTATCGATATTGATCAGGGTCCAAGACGCCATGGAGTAATAAGACAGTGAGAGGACATGATTCACGTCCGGGTAACTACTGCTGTCCTGAGCTGGCACCAAAGTTACCCTTCCAGCGCGTCTCCTGAGCATTAGCTTCCAATTTAATCAAGCCCGGTTTAGTTCACTCAGCTACCATATTCCCCCAATCACCACACACAAGACGAAATGGGTATTCTCGACGAGCAACGGAGTTTGTGCGAAGACCTTGAGCGGCTCGAGCAAGCGTGCGCCGACAGAATCTTGGAGGAACCTAAATCAGTATGTTTCCTACTTTAGAAAAGCCGCCATGATAACTGGCTAACAGCAAACAGACACGAGAGCGGCTTACTCGCGATCACCAAATCGCAAAGTTTGTCGATAGGTTTCAACAACAATCGGCGCGGCTGTTAGAAACGCAGGCGGATAGGGATGGGTGCATATCCTCCACTCACCAAATTTTTCGAGATTGTAACTAACCGGTGCGGTGGACAGAGCCCGGCAGAAGGAGGTGGATTCCCTCTCATCCAAAGACCCTTTTGAAGAATTCTACCGCCAGCTAGGCCAAATCAAAGACTTTCATCGTCGTTACCCAAATGAGCCCGTCGAGAACTTGGAGCGCGCATACAAGCGACGGCAAGCTACCGATGGAGAATATGTCTCTGAGATAGACACCATGTTTACCGGTGAGGAGGCTCATGGCAAGTTCTTTGACTTGACTAAGAATCATGAGGACTATCTAAATCTTCCCGGCGTCAAGAGGATCACTTACTTAAGTTATCTGTCGCTGTTCGATAAGTTCGACAAGTTTGCGTGCAATCAGAAGATGAATGACAAGTACTTCAAGTATGTCAGCGCATTGGCGGAGTATCTCGAGAGTTTCCTGTCGAGGACTCGGCCCTTGGAGAACCCGGAAGGCATCGTGGAGCAGACTGGGGAAGACTTTGAGAAGGCATGGGTGGAGGATAATGTCGCGGGATGGGGTAAATCAGAGAAGGGTAGTGATGACATCGGACCAAGGGAGGAGGTGATGCGGGTCCCGGAAGCGGAGCTCTATTGTGATGTCTGCTTGAAGGGGTTCAAAAATAATAATGTTTTTGAACACCATTTCAATGGAAAGCAACACAAAAAGGCAGTGGCGAAACGGGCTGAAGGTAGTGTCGAGAACGGCGAAGCCAGAAAAGCAGGGGGGAGCAGCGGCGCGGCGTCAAGGCTGAAGGACAAAGCTATTGCTGAGCGGGAATGGCGGATTGTCAAGCTGACAGAGATCATGTCGAAAGAGCGAGATGAGACAATGACTAATGTTGAGCGAAAACAGTCACTTACGGAGCGTGAAAGACAGGCACGTGCCCTACCCCCTCCGTACCAGTTCTGGTGATCCAAGCTAACCCTTATCATAGATGGAATTGGACGCCCTGTATGAAGAGAACTCTGCTAATCCAAACCTCGAAGCCGAAGCCCACACAGACGACGAGAATGACGAGGAGAAGATCTACAACCCTCTAAAACTCCCCCTAGCCTGGGACGGCAAGCCAATCCCATACTGGCTCTACAAGCTCCACGGCCTCGGCGTCGAATTTTCCTGCGAGATTTGCGGAAACTTTGTCTATATGGGACGTCGCGCCTTCGATAAGCACTTCAACGAATACAGGCATACCTACGGCCTCCGCTGTCTTGGGATCACAAACACAACGTTGTTCCGCGAAATCACCAAGATTGATGAAGCGCAGAGGCTTTGGGAGAAACTTGAGAATGACAAGAAGAAGACCAAGATGGCTAATGAGACGGTGGAAGAAATGGAGGACGGGCAGGGGAATGTCATGCCGAGGAAGGTTTATGAGGATTTACAGAAGCAAGGATTGCTTTAGGGTAGTAGTATTTACAATGTCTATGTGGCGGGGGGCGTGGGGCAGGACTGTATTAGTAATTTTCTTGGAGCCTTTCTTTCGCCGTCGTATAGAATTTACGTTTGAATCGACGGTACTAAATTTTTGTGTTGCCAATAGTTTGTGGAGTGCTCCTTGTGTGTACAACAGGTGTAAGTGTTGGTGAAATGGGAATTTCTGTACCATGGCTTGTTATTTTCCCTAGCTTCCATGTCCTCGGAATTCGATCTAGGGTCCTGCACGGAAGGTTCCCGCCGCCCCCCCCCCCCTGCTGTTTGTCATGGTCCTTCTCTTCTTGGCCGTTGGGGGCTGACGATACCAGCACCAACCCACCGCTAGAACTCAAGGCACCCTGCCATTACTACCAAAACCCCACATACCACACACCACACCGCCCCCCAAACCAGTCTCAAATAGCATCCCACTCGAACCGGTTGGAATTCCAGATACACGGTGCCCCCACATCACCCTACCCGTATTTTATAAAAGGCGCGTGATCGGACACTCATCATCTTAACGGCAGCTCCTTCTTCCCAAGAGGGAGGGAGAGCAAGATCAAGGACCAAAAGTATGGGAATCCTTTTACAGGGCTCACAATCGTCGATACGACGGGATGGGTCGGGTCCCTGAGGAGGGGGATAGAAAGTTGGGGGAGTGGGAATGAAAGGAGAAAGCCGAATCGGCAGCCAGGGTTCGCGTGTATGTATACAATAATTGCTAATGGAAAAGACGTTGGAGAGGAAGGGCGAGGAAAAATACATCTTATATTATATCATACTGTGCTATAGTATCTGGCCATGCAGGTCAAGAAAATGTAGATGTGGTTCCCCCTCCAGAACAGGGCCAATGACCAAATATACCGGCAGGGCAAGTAACTTGGGACACCTCCTCGAGCGGGTATCACATGCTTCATACACTTATGATATGATGACGATATCATGGAAGGGGTGGAAAGACTGTGGAACATCTGTAGAGTCATGCCGTATACCGCGGTACAGTCGATCTTGAGACGTATGCAGTTTGTATCGCAACCTCGACCATCCCGCCCATTCACCAAAAACATATTTGGCAAGTGGAGAATCTGGATGGAAGAAAAAAGAAAAAAAATCGCAACTAAATAACAATGTTTTATATACATAGCTCAGCTCTGGCACGGCGATGACCGTGTGGTGATGGTCGGGGTCGTAGGAGAGCAGACTTTTCCGGATGCTTGTGGTTAGTTACCCCCGAGTTGATGTATCATACGATAAATTACCACCTTTACTGAAGTTTCCCGGATGCGCTGTAGAGTACTTGTACTGTGCTGGAGCGCCGGTATGCTATCCATCCATCCATTGGGATAGACATTCTGTGCCGTGACGTAGGGTGCTTGTTACCTTGTTGTTTGGCACTGCACGCTGACAGCTGGTGCACTCGTCGATGGGGAGGAATCTGACATATCCTGGTTCTTGCACGTGAAAACGAGGTATATGGTAGGGTGATGCTATTCGGTGCTTTGGGGGGAAGAAAGTATGATGGGGCATTTTGTAATTACCAAGGTGAAAAAATGGCAGATGTGGATATTATAGCGGAGGATTTGCCGTCTATATACTGCAATTGTATTCCGTTATTCCGCTCTATGTTTTTTTTGATGATCGAGGCGGGGCTGTCTGAGGTTATCTTGATGTTATTGACTTTGGCGAGTGATATATTGTGAAACTAGGTTGGTCGGGCTGCAACTTTGTGGTATTAAACCGAAACTCATTTGAGGGTGGTGAGCCTCGTGCAGTAAGTTTGTGTGCTCCAAGTTTTCCATAGAGGAATTCTCGGGTTTTTGGTCATTCGAGAAGAGTATAATGATTCTGGACAGGTGGACATATGGTTTTTAAATAGCTCCTGTTCCTGAGGTACATTACAGGAGAGCTGCTAGATGGCTAGCTGGTTGTATCGAATCGCGGGGTGGGGATCAATTGAGCGACCCGATGCAAGTTGCTTGTTCCGAGAGAGTGCCAGCCGGGTTTTGATGTGAAGATAGCTGGAATGGATGTTTGGTGCATAGGCTTTGGAATGGATTGTTTCCTTGACCAGAGCTTGATTTTCAATATGAGTGGGAAATTTGGTGCGATTGCGGCTTGACTTTATATCACCTTGACAATCGAGTATTCTTTTGCCCTCTCGAATGCTTTGTTCGAGTCTCTATCTCGTTTCTAAGCGATAGCCTGCTAGACCTTATTGCGGATCCTGTTTTCTTTTCTTCCATTCTCTTGTTTCTTTCATCGTTGAATTTTGTCCAATGTTTTTCTTCTTCTTTCACCGGTAGTAGAGTATCGCGAGAATATTGTGCTTGGTGCATATGGCTTTGGTGGCGGAATTAAAGAAGCTTCCGTAGATGTTCATTGATAGCTGGTGTCTTTCTCGATCTGGATTTTATAGCAGAGTTCTGTTCACCTAGTTGACCATCTATAGCGCTACGTACACCGTTGTACACGTGTAGCTGGGCGAGTGACTGCCTGAGGGGGCATCGCAGGACCACTCTACAGTACTATGAACTCGGAATCGGGGTTCCAATCGGGGAGGTTACGCTTCCCGGAGGGTTGCCCCTCAGGAGCGAACCTGTACCGTGGGAACTCCCGTGATTCGCTATCTCCGGCATGCCTCCAATCTCCAGATCCAGAAGGAGAGAGAGCTCCTGAGACGGATTTGTGCCTTCCTGCCATGGCATACCTCGAGCCCTAGCACGTGTTGGATCCCGCTATTAACAATTCTGCTAACCTGTCAAATGAAACCTACCATTGGTCAATGCGGTTATCTCCACTAATAATCTGTTTGTGAATTCCAAGCGCTTCCTTGGTATTCCCGGTCCCAACCAGGTTTCCAAGTACCGGTACTATACTCGTACAACTATAGTGGGATCACGGGGGGAGCCTCCCGGTATACACAAGTACACATTCCCAAAACCCCCGCAGTACGAGCGGTCCTAGTACTAGAAGGCCGAAATCTAGCCCGGAGCACTGCAATCACCGTCCACGGGTGTTTCAATTTCCCCACGAGAGAAGCAATCTGAGATTAGGGAAATAATATTTACGGCATATCCCGCAAAAAAACCCCCCTAAAAAAACCTCGCTCCCACCGACACTCCCCTACCAGGCACAAGTACAGTATCATACTGTACCGGTACCACATCACACGGCATCAGCTCACCGCAAGTGCCGGTAACATACCCGCTACCAAGTTCCACAGGATACGGAACCGGGATCCGGTTCATCTGTCTTCAACTTTATTTCCAAATCTACCGGTAGTCTGCCCAAGGCGGGGTGAAGACGACAAAAAGGGAGGTGGATGACAGTCGGCTGCAGATATCTAGAATTGGTCAATGCGCCAAGTGAGCGCGCACTGGCACTGAGATAATGGCAACTGCACGTACGTATGGGCAGCCGAGCTGACTGTTTGTATGGGAATTTCTAGCTTACCGTACGTAAGTGTCGGTCCAAATTCCTGATAGACGGTCCCTTTACCGTGCCCTTTCATTGGCCAGTTAAATATACATATCGGTGAACAACTCAGCCGTGCCGGTGCAAATGTGATAACACGGCCAAAGAAAAACAACGAGGAAAGATATTAAAAGGTTCAACCTACAATTACTTGTACAGTATACTTGTAGGGACGTGCGCTTCCTTCTGAAATTCGGGAAACAAAACAAAATAAGAGACCAGGTGCTCTCCGATGGCGATTAGCTGAACACGGATGGCGTCGACTGAATCCCCACCTTCATTATCCTGACAACTTTGGCGTTGTCTGGCCCAAGGCGAGGACAGCTCGAGCGCGGTGCCCAAGCACAGAAGGAGCTGGAATGCCGTCGATCAATAATCCCACTGGGACGTTTGGATTTCCCCATCCAGTGGGGTGTGTGTTTTTCTTTTTTATCTGTCTCAACCAAGGGCTAAAAGATTGTCTCTTCGCTATGTTTTTCCCCCTCAACCCAAGAGAGGAAACTCTGAACGTCCTTGCGTCATTCTCGAGTACAGCACAGTACTCGAGTACTCTAACAGAGATCATTCCCCACCAACCGTACCGTATTCGAAAGTGACCCGGTAACTTTGGAATCCACGGAAAGCACCGTACCCGTAGCGGGCAGGAAGTACCAGTCAATATGGCAAAAAAAATCCCCGCGTATCTTAGCGCCCATAAAAAAAATAAATACACGACCCCTGTTTTAGGATACTACTCGAGTATACATCTTGCCCGATATCGAGTGGGTAGCTAGCCATTCGCCAAACGGAGAACACCACCAGTACTGCGGAGACGCAGCGCGGTATCATGACACTGTGCGGAATGCTGACGGGATGGGTGGAAATGGCCTGGCAGGAATGTGTAAGGTTCCACAGACTCGGGATGCTTTTTTTTTTTTGCGGGCGGTGGGGAGTCTGTGGGCACTACCGGTATGTGTGTGCCGGGGATCCGGGGAATGCTGTTTGCATGAAGATGCCGAGAGCATGGGATGGGATTACGGTACGGTACTAGAATGAATAAACTCGCATTATTGCATTGTGCTGTACAGCACCAGTGCAGTGCTTATTCGGTACCGATGTCACCCTATTAGCGAGTGAGACCTTGTGCCGGGTTCCTGAACGTCAGGAGATGCTTTGCGGTACCTTACCTTAACTTTTATGACAGTACTATGCCTGATTCTCTCACTCACTGATCCCGGGGCATTACTTCGACAAGCCCAAGTCCCACCTTCCCGAGAACGGATATGATACCATCCTTCCTTCCTGGTCCCCTAGAGCTTTAATTAATGAATTGGACAAACCCTATTGTTCCATCAAGGCGACCAGAACACAGCGCTACTCACTTATCACACCGTGTTCGAGTACTTGCTCACATACGGCGCTGCAGCATCACAACAAACCGTCACCCACATCGTAGACCAGATGTAATAAATATATCCCTCATAACTGGAAAAGGGGGAAAGAAAAGTGGTGGAAAAGTCCGTGGATCTAAGATATCCATCGATTCTTGTATCGATATGCCAGGAAGCAGCAATGTGGAAGGAAGATCACCAGTGCCTGCTTTTTTTTTGTTGTTGTATGGTGGTAGTATAGTGCTTCTATAATCGTGGCCCGATGGGAAGACACCGAATTCTGTTCGGGTACGGTATGAGCCGGGATGGGTGATGTGGGTGCCGGTACTTATTACAGAATTAAGTTATACATACAAGCTATCATTCCTTCTTTCCTTCCTTCCTTCCTTGCAACCACGACGCGCATGCAGGGAGTTTTCTATAATAGATATTTTTCGGTCTACGGCAAGCGAGTTAGCCCAGTACGATACGGTATTGTAGGGTGCGGTATCCGTCGTGGAGAAGGGGGGGGATTACCGGGAGTTGCCGTGCTTTTTAGGTTAGGTATTTCCAGGTATGATATTCTGGGCTGCCCCCTACCGGAACCGGAACCGAACTAGAGCACTGTACTCGAGCACTGTACAAGTACGAGTACCGGTACAGTAGATGGTTCATTACTGTCATCCCCCCCATCTCAAATTTGACTTTTAGGTTGTACCGTACTGAACCGAAAGATCCACAGGTCAGTGAGCGCCAAGAAGGAAAAAAAAAAAAAAAAAAAGTTCCCCTCACGAAGAAGAAACTCGGCGACCACATTCACATACCGTAGTGCAGTAGTCTGCCGGTATCATAATATTATGATGGTTATGGTGCCTCCACGTGCCCAAGCGAGTCGCAAAAACGAGTGACTGCCCATGCACCGGACAACTCATACCATAAAGTTGGAGCGGAGTACACCGAACCGCACGAGGGCCTCCTCTCCTCTCCTCGCCTTGCTCTCTTGCTTGCTTGCTTGCTAGCGCCGCCTCGCGCCGCCCGCTCTCCGCGGTAAGGTGATAAGGTAAGGTACAAGACTATACTCGAGTACCTGTACATACAAGGCGGACGTCCAGGCCAGGTCAGGTCGCTGCAGTGCCTTAACTTACCTGTTTACCTAATCTACCCCCCTCCCTTATAATACCTACCTATGATACCTCCGTACCTCACACAAAGCACTCACTGTACAAGTACCGTAAAAACTCAAATAATAGAACCGTGTGCTATGTAGTCGAGAATTACCTACTTGAGAAAGGGGGCGAAAAACACAGCAAAAACGGAGCTGCTCATCCCCCCTCAGAGGCGTAAGGGAACAGGGGAGCGGCGGACTTTACCGGAGGAGGCAACTCCAACGACATAGCACCCGGTTCGATTATTTGAGTTTTTACGGTACTGTACAACGAATCCGAAAGGTACGTCCTACTGATAAAAAAGTAAAAAAAGTAAAAAGAGTACAAGAATGGGTACTCCCTTGCATAAACTAACCAAGTCCTGAAATCCTGAAACCGCAAAAAGAGAAAATAAGAATAAAAATAAAAACCAGTAGTCATTCCACCTATCATACAAATGTCGCCCCAGGCAGACAGACGGACAGAGCCCGACCGACCGACCGACCGACCGACCGACCACAGGAACCGAACGCGACCCTCGCCATTTTCCCCCGATCTCTAGTCATCGCCAGACCATGTATCATACCACACTGCACAGTATTATACAGCACTGCGCGTTTATTACATTATGGCAATCCAAACTCTCGAATCCGCCAACGGGGAGAATCCTATCCTTGTATATAAATTAAATTCGGGGCTCACGAAAGCGGTACAAGTATCATATGATGAGTACGGTACAATACAGTACTGTACCACGCTTGCCGTGCCTTTTCCACACTCGCACCATCTGGTTGTGCAGTACAGCACTCGTACGAGGTATTATATCATACCGTACTTGAAAACGTCCGGGATGGCGTAACCAACCCTTTCCTTTTTATAATAACTTTCCATCGCGATTCTATCCCCCCCTTCTACAGTACTGTACCGGTACTGTACTGTGCTCGAGTACAGTAAGTTACTCGTGTGATACCATTGCTGTAAACGAAGGTGTGTGGGGCGGGGGTGGCTTTTCGGGTAGTTTTGTGTTGTTGTTGCGCAATGGTGTGAGTACTCGAGTATGTGTGGGGTGTGTGGTACAAGTAACCGTCCGCAGTTGAGATTTTCACCAGAATTAATTTTTTTCGTATCTGTTTTTTTTTTTTTGGAAAAGGGGGGGGGGTGCTCGAGTATAGTTGCGTGATTTGGGTTTTGGGGGTTCGGGTGGAGTTGTATGATGGTTGTGGTCGCCTGGTGGATATTGTACTGCGCTCCTGGGATTTTTTGATGTATGATATGTTTTTTTGTTTTTTTTGGTTAGCCTTATGGGTGGGAGAGAGATGTGGATTGCACCGTGCTCGAGTACGCGTACTCGAGTACTGTGCTGTGCGGTGCTGTATGGTCGGGAGATTATTGGGGGGCTGTGGAGATTTTGTATGATTTATGGTTACTTCTTTTTTTTTTTTTTTTTTTTTTTTCAAGCTGTGTTGATATTCGAGCCATCTTGTTCGAATGGATACAGTATGTTATGTTACTTTCTGGTGTAACTTAAACCAAAAGCTGGATCAAAATCCAGTCCCTATTTTTTATTCTTTTTTATTTTGAAAAAAACGCCCGACTCCATCTACAGCACTGTGCCCACAGTGAACTAACTAATTAACTAAGTTACACGATATTTTCACTGAAAAATACCAAATTACTATGTGTTACCTCTTGTCTCCCTGGAAAGAGGGGAAAGGGAAAGAAAAAGAAAAACCTTGAATTATACACTCCCCTCCTCCAACCTAACAAGACTGCCCGCTTCCATTCCCACTCTTGCAAGAATTCGGGTGACTGCTCGTAGAGAACAGTGTCCTCTTCTCCACCGGTAGACTCCCACTACTGGAATGCCGCTTCCTGTAAAACACTCTAAGGCAGGGCAAGCAGAAGGCCGTGAAGGCGAACAACTTCTCAATCACGGCCCACACCAGGGTTCGCCGGATCGCCTCGATGGAGTTGTCGGCGTGCATTACCACGTAGTAGACCTGCGTGAAGCGCACTACCGACGCCGCGATGGAGAGGGTGCCAATGAGGAAGACTACGCTTAGGGCGTACAGGTCCTTGCGCCTGAGATTTAAGGATGATATTGTGAAGAGGGGGACCACTAGGACTGTGATGGGTTAGTGAGAGTAGGGAGAATGGGGGGGGGGGGAGTTACCCATTATGTCACTGGTTATATTTGTCCATTGCTGGAGTATCATTCCGGGGACAGTGAGGGTTGCTAGGCATCTATCTGAGCCGGTGGACCTGTAGGTTCTCTCAATATTGGTTGGGGAACTTTCGGAGCCACAGGAGATAGTTGTGCTCGAGGGAGAACATACCAATTCGTGGATAGTGGACTGCAATATCCAAGTTGAAAGGAGAGAACCCCGATATATGTCGCGAGGCAGTACACCGACACAGCGTACAGCAAACGCCTAATCCTCTCCGCAAGGCTATCCTTCAAGCTCCAATAGTATCCCAAGAATGCGCCCTTCAGCAGCCAAACCTGGGTCGTGCAGAATAGCGTTATAGCGAAGAATTCCTGGAAGTACAACCAATCCCCCGAAAATTAGCTCTCAATTTCACCAATTTCACCGAATCCCCCCATAGACAGTCCTACCCCCACCAGTGGCACATCTCGGGAAGACCCACCTTCAAATACCCTTCCGTGAACAGCATGTCCGGAATGGCCTCATCCCCAAAGTCCCGTCGAATCCGGAGCTCCTGTCTAACCACGTCGAACGCAATCCCGGCCGTCGCCACCATGAGCACGGTGAACAGCACGAAGGCGGCATCGCTAATGTTCACCGCGAGCGTTCTCGGCCTCCGCCTCAATATCCATAACCTCCCGACGGTGCCGAATATCGTCAGCACCGTTATGAACGTCACAAGAGCTATGAAGCCATTAACGTCGTCTTCCGGCATCGCTATATTGGGGACTCTTCTAGACGGAGGCGGTGGTGGGTTGAAATGTTTGGGCGAACATGTAATGGATTTTGGTGGTTGGGTGGGTGGTATATATATATATGTATGGTATACGTATGTGTGTGTGTATGTATGGTGGGTACGAGGGGTGAGGGAAGGGAAATGATGGTCTATGATAGGCACGAGTACATATATGTGTGTATTTTGTGCTGGATCGGGACAGGATGAGATAGATGGGTGGGGGGTGAGCGGACGGATGGCATCGTTGGGGGGGGGGATTAAATGGGCTTGGGTGCTCGAGTGAGCGAATGGGGCGCCCTGCGCTGAAAACCGCCCTCGTACGTACTTTACTGCAATGTCAACTCTTGTCAAACCACCGCAACGGTATGATACCGGTATGGTAACCACACCCAAGTGAAAGGCAGCCAGCCTATCGAGCGAGGGGGGGTGCAGAGCCAAATCGAGGAAGAAAAAAGAAAAAGCAGTGAGAGGGAGCGGGAGCCCAAACCGCCAGGAAAGGGATGTGAGCCTCGAGAATTTGGCGATGTGCTCCCACACCATGAACAGACCTGTGGTGGGTTTACCCGCGGCGCCATACGGGCACGAGTACAGGTACTGGAGTACAGTGCCGTGCTCGAGTACTTGCACCATGGATACCGGTCTCTGCCAAAAGGGCAGGAACTTGCTAACCGGAACGGGCAGGGATATATCTGGCTGTTTAACCTTAAATAACCGGTCCATAACTCCCTGCCCGACCATGGGCAGTACCGTATGATGCCCACCGCACAGCAAATTTACTCGGCCTGGCAGACCAAGCGACAGAGTGACAGAGGGGGTCCGAAGAGAAGGATTAGAGATCACAAGTCTGCCTGTCTTCATCAAGAGAAGGGAGGGAGAGTGGTGTCCTACTATCGAGCTGACCGCCGCTAGAGTTCAATCCCTAAATCGGGCAGCTCTTGGCGACCCAGCGTGCACTTGCTGGCTGGGGCTCGCCGGGAAGCCAGGGCGAGCGAGATCTGTTGCGGTTTTGTAAAGAAAAAGCTTCAAAGTCACCGTATCATATCGTGCCATCTCTCCATCTCTCTCCCTTCCTTCTCTCGCAGGGCGAGTAGGGGCACTTTCCCGGACAATGATTATTGTGAGGGAGGTTATTATGTCCAACTTGGCCTCTTGCTAATGTGGGGCTATTTTTTTATTAATTTTTATCGTTTTTTTCGGTGGGGCTGAGCTTTGACATAATGGGATGGTTATCGCTGTGTGAGATTATGATATGAGAGGAGGGAGGAGGGGGAGAGAGAGAGCCTTGTCTCCTTTCCTTCCCTCCCTCCTTGCTCCCACAGAAACACAGGAACGGTACTCGAGTACAACACATCGCGCTTGTGACGGGATAACCCATGGTAAGCGAACAGCCAATCCGTGTCTGTGGGGGAGCCGTATCAGGGATCCCACGTTGCCGAGAAACGGCTTTTTTCCTTTTTTTCTTTTCTGCACTTCCTCAAAACTCGCAGCCCTGTTTGAGTATGATAGCATGGAGAATACATAAGAGTGTCTATCGCTGCTGTTCTATCACTTTGCCTGCGCCCGTACGAGTACTCACATCGCCTTTAGTTCCCGAGAGCATCCCGAGATTAGGAACAGCTCGAGTGTGGCAATCGTGTAGATGTTTTTCCACCGTACCGGTACAGTGCAGCGCAGTGCAGGTCATTCCACAGCAAAACTCTCCCCAACCATAAATTTACTTCCTTTGGCAATGATCTCAGGAATATAGATAAGGGATCTATGATGGAGGGCGCATTCCCGTGATCAAATTTCGACAAAACATAAATAGCTTTTTTTCCCCCTCTTTCCCCCCTCTCCCCATCCCTTATCGGACCCCCGACCTCTGACTCCTCCCCACTTGCAAGTATGCGAGTATGATATTTACCATCACACCGTAGTCTAAGACTTTGACATCTCACGCAGCAAAGAACCGAGACCACTTTCAAAAACCCAGAGTAGAAGACGGAATGAAATAAAAACCTGCACACCCCTCCTTCCCCCTCCCTCACACGCGATAATATCGTAGCTTTTGACCCTGATTATGATAGACCGAATAAACCCCGAACCTCGGGATCTATCCTGCCCTGCAGCCCTATATTTGCATCATACAATACGATGCCGGTAGATCATCGCCCGTTTAATCGATCCAATCCTCTTCAGCTCAACAACCCACTCACTCACTCACTCACTCACTCACTCACTCACTCACCCACCCATTCTCGCGCTCTGTTTGCTTCACTCGAGGCCCCCAAACTAGCCCTTCCCGACTCGACACTTTTAATTTCAGAAAGAATAGTAATGATGATAATAATAAATAACCCTATAATATACTATAGCACGGTACGGCTCCTTACAGCACTGCAAAAAAAAAACTAACTAAACTTTTAACCTCCCTCCTAGCTAAACGTCAGCAGTAATCAGCCCATGACCCATCACCCCACAACTACACTATATAGGCAACAGGCTTCACTCTGAGAAAAAAAAGTTGACAGAAGTACCGTAGCGAAATATCAATCCGTGGGGTCCAACCCACCCACCCCACCCAAAACATGGGCTGATCCCCTGCGAAGGGAGCCAGCCAACCAGTACCTTCGAATCCGGAGATGACGGGTGGCGGAGACGAGAGTTTTTCCGGCACTGGAAGAAGCGGTAGTGCAGTGCAGTGCAGTGCAGTCCAGTACAGTACAATACACATCTTACGAGTCCTCCCTCATCCCGATCTATTCATTCAGGCATCCAACGTGTTACACCGGAGGTACTGTACCGGACCCCCCCACTCCCCATCACAACAGCTATGTATAATACTGTAGATTAAACGCTCGCGACCATGGCCCAGAATTACCATTGTCCGCCCGGATTTCTAATGCCTACCTGCACTGCACTGCACTGTACTGTACTGTACGGGTCGCATTCACTGGGATCGAAGAATTCGCATCGCGAATTTATATTGCGAGAACCGAGTACGAGTCTGTCCGTCTGCACCAAGTTGGTCTATATTATGTTCGGACTCGAATGCTCCGGCGCTTCGTTCATACCCGCGTACTTGTACTGTGCTGTGCTGGTTGGAATGGAGAATTCATTTATGTACGTATTATATGTATGTGTGTATGTGTGGGTGGGTGTGGATGACTTGATGATGCGCCGTTAGAGATCTGGGGGAAAGCTCAGACCACCTAAGCAACAAACATCCTGTCTTGTTTTTTTTTTTTCCCCCTTTTTCTTTCTGTGCTTTTTCTTCTTTTTTTTTCCGTCCATTTGGAGTTGGGATTTTGGATGTTTGGAGTTGCTGTCTAAGTTAACTCACTGGTGTTTCTATCGTGGGAGTTTCTCGTATAATGTAATGGCTCGGCTCCATGGGTGCCTGGTTTGGCCATAAGTTAGGTGGTGTATTATTTCATGCACTGGACTGGACTGGACTGGAATGACTTGTGCACCGTTGGGCTAAGTAAAGGTGGACAAACACGAAATGATATATTATATATATATATATATATAATTTCGTTTTTTGTTTGTACAGAATACCTCCATGTGCCACTACACGATAATACATCTCCTATAGCTAAGCCAGGTCCCCAGTACAGTACCATACATGCACCAATTAAGGTATGGCATAGAAAATTTGCGAGCGTGGCTGTGTACGGTACCGTAAGGTATCATACGTATGGGAGTTGAGTTACAGCGTAAATAGTTACAGGACAGGAATCATCATAATTATCATAGTAACTTAGACCGCAGCACGTCTACGGTATCTATCTCTACCACCCCGATCTTCAAAACACGGAGCATCCGAGGTATGGGTTTAAACTTACGAGTATCACAAGTTTTAAAGCCACCACCATCCATCCACCGGATGCAATTTATGGAGAAATGGTAATATAAAATCCTAATAGGCGCTCGAGTTTAATTGCGCTGCTCTGGGAGTGGAGGGTCGGATACCATACCGGACAATGCGACATCGGTTGCAGGGCAGCGCGGTCATGGTAACTTAATGAATACCCCAGGAGAGATAGAGATGGTAGAACCCAGGGAGTTAAAATAGAAGTGTCCGGCAAGGGAATCATCTATCTAAAGTAC